TCTACCGTCATGCGCACGGCCTCTTCGAAATTGGAGGTGCTGATCTTGTCTGACGCGCGAAGGAGGATCGTGGGAAGGGTCGCGGACGAGCTGGGGTAAGCCCACACTCCAGTCGCCAGCTCTATAAACCGTATGTGTTGCCTCTGCTGGTCGAAGATACTGGCGGCATTGTCGCACTCGAAGGGGATGGGAATGTGTTGCTCGTGCGCATGCATACGGAGCCTATAGGTCATCGCGGCCAGCAGTTGGGGAGAGGCCCCCCTTGCGGCCGCAGCCTCGGCCTCGGCCAAGGCGGCAGCCCTCCAGTCGCCCGCTGCAGTTGTCGGCTCTTCTCGCGCACGTGTAGCTGATGACGTCTGGGTGCCCAGCCGTGGGTCAGCAGCCGCTGCCGTCTCTTCTCGCACTCGCGCCCCCGAATGTTTCTCGCTTTGCACGCGCTCAGGTTCGTCGGGCACTTCGCGCGCGCTCGTGTCCTGGCGTGTGATGCCTATGCCGATGGAGGGCTCTATCTTCGCAATTGTCCGCTCGCAGGCCCTGATCGCGGCGCTGCAGCTGATGGTGTCGGGCTCCATCTTCGCCTCAGAGGGGGCGTCGACGAGGGGCGTAGTCGAGGGGCGTCGTCGTCGAAGGGCGTCGTCGAGGGTCGTCGAAGGGGGGTCGTCGAGGGTCGCAGCGCTGCCACTGCTCGCGCCACTGCCCGCCACCGCCTGTTCTCGCGGGCTAGCACCACTGCTCGCACCGCTGCCTGCCACCGCCTGTTCTCGCAGACTTGCGCCACTGCCCGCTGCCACTGCCTCGCCCGCCACCGCCTGTTCTCGCAGGCCAGCACCAATGCTCGCACCACTGCCCACCACGGTCTGTTCTCGCAGACACGCTCCACTGCCCGCTGCCACTGCCTCGTCGTTGTGGCCGTGCTGGTCGTCGTTGTAGCCGCGCTGGTAGCCGTTGCAGCCGTTGTAGAAGCCGTCGTAGCCGTTGTAGGCGCTGTAGTCGTGGTGGCCGTTGTCGCCATGCTCGTCTCGCCCCTGCTTTGCCCTTGCTGCCACTTCTCGCGCACGCATGGCCCAGCATGTAGCTGACGACGTAGCAGTGTCTGGCTCTTGTGTCGCCTCGCTCTTCTCGCACGTTGGCGTGACCAGGCTCAGCCCAGTGACGATGGGCTGTTGGTGTTTCTCACTTCGCGCACGCTCTGGTTCAGCACACGCTTCTCGCACGCTCACGCTCTGGCTTGTGTCTTCGCCCTCGCGCCAAGAGGCATATGTGAGAATATCGGGGAGCGGCCATTGCCAAAAAGGGGTCTCCTGCTGTCCTGAGCTGTAGCTGATCACATCTGCACTGTAGCTGCTGTCTTGGGAGGGCGGCACCTGGACAACGATATGTGTTGTTTTCGCCTGCTTCCCATGCCTATATCTTTCCCGTAAGGAACGGTGGCAGACTTGCCGATGCTGGCGGCTATTGTCCGCCAGTCTTTCAGATCGATATGTTTACCCTTCCTGGCCGCATAGGACAAACGGCAAGCCGCGGCTCGGATGAGCCACGGTCTCGACTCGCGTCGGCTCTTCTTGATCTCGTGAGATTCCATGGCGTCAAGACATCGCCCCTGTCCGCCTGCACGTGCGGCTCGCGGCGGGCGGGAGGCGTGGGGCCGGCCCGCAGGGCCCGCACGCGGCGGCGGGGGGCCCAGCAGGGCCAGAGTGGCCCTTGAGCCAAAATGGCTACGGACCCTCCGCCGCCTTCCTCGTCCTCCTCCTCCTCCTCCTCCTTCCTCCTTCCTCCTCCTCCTCCTCCTCCTCCTCCTCCCTTTCCTCCTCCTCCTCCTCCTCCTCCTCCCCATCCCCCTCCCCTTCCTCCTCCTCCCCTCCTCCTCCTCCTCCTCCTTCCTCCTCCTCCTCCCCCTCCTCCTCTCCTCCTCCTCTCCTCCCCCTCCTCCTCTCCTCCTCCTCCTCCTCTTCCTCCTCCTCCTCTCCGCCTCGCTCCTCCTCCTCCTCCTCCTCCCCCTCCCCCTCCCACTCCACGGGGCCCCTCCCACTGCTCGCGCCACTGCCCGCCACCTCCTGTTCTCGCGGGCTAGCACCACTGCTCGCACCGCTGCTTGCCACCGCCTGTTCTCGCAGACTTGCGCCACTGCCCGCTGCCACTGCCTCGCCCGCCACCGCCTGTTCTCGCAGGCCAGCACCACTGCTCGCACCACCGCCCACCACCGTCTGTTCTCGCAGACACGCTCCACTGCCCGCTGCCACTGCCTCGTCGTTGTGGCCGTGCTGGTCGTCGTTGTAGCCGCGCTGTTAGCCGTTGTAGCCGTTGTAGAAGCCGTCGTAGCCGTTGTAGGCGCTGTAGTCGTGGTGGCCGTTGTCGCCATGCTCGTCTCGCCCCTGCTTTGCCCTTGCTGCCACTTCTCGCGCACGCATGGCCCAGCATGTAGCTGACGACGTAGCAGTGTCTGGCTCCTGTGTCGCCTCGCTCTTCTCGCACGTTGGCGTGACCAGGCTCAGCCCAGTGACGATGGGCTGTTGGTGTTTCTCACTTCGCGCACGCTCTGGTTCAGCACACGCTTCTCGCACGCTCACGTTCTGGCTTGTGTCTTCGCCCTCGCGCCAAGAGGCATATGTGAGAATATCGGGGAGCGGCCATTGCCAAAAAGGGGTCTCCTGCTGTCCTGAGCTGTAGCTGATCACATCTGCACTGTAGCTGCTGTCTTGGGAGGGCGGCACCTGGACAACGATATGTGTTGTTTTCGCCTGCTTCCCATGCCTATATCTTTCCCGTAAGGAACGGTGTCAGACCTGCCGATGCTGGCGGCTATTGTCCGCCAGTCTTTCAGATCGATATGTTTACCCTTCCTGGCCGCATAGGACAAACGGCAAGCCGCGGCTCGGATGAGCCACGGTCTCGACTCGCGTCGGCTCTTCTTGATCTCGTGAGATTCCATGGCGTCAAGACATCGCCCCTGTCCGCCTGCACGTGCGGCTCGCGGCGGGCGGGAGGCGTGGGGCCGGCCCGCAGGGCCCGCACGCGGCGGCGGGGGGCCCAGCAGGGCCAGAGTGGCCCTTGAGCCAAAATGGCTACGGACCCTCCGCCCAAACACAAAAACGCGGCAGCAACGAAGGCCGCGGAAGCAGCACGAAGCAGCTGCCCTCACCCGCAGACGCCCGCATGCCCCCGCCTCCCCTGCCTCCTCCGCCATCCTCCTCCTCCTCCTCCTCCTCGTCCTCTTCTCTCCCTTTCTCTTCCTCCTTCCTCCCTCCCTTTCCTCCTCCTCCTCCTCCTCCTCCTCCTCCTCCTCCTCCTCCTCCTCCTCCTCCTCCCTTTCTCCTCCTCCTCCTCCTCCTTTTCCCTCCCCCTCCCCCCTCATCCTCCTCCTCCTCCTCCTCCTCCTCCCTCCTCCTCCTCCTCTTCTCCTCCTCCTCCTCCTCTTCCTCTCCTCCTCCTCCTCATCCTCCTCCTCCTCCTCCTCCTCCTCTCCTCCTCCTCCTCCTCCTCCTCCTCCCTCCCCCTCCCCCTCCTCCTCCTCCTCCTTCTCCTCCTCCTCCTCCTCCCCCTCCCACTCCACGGGGCCCCAGCCCTCTCTGCGCACGGCTCCCTTCAGGCTCGGTCTCCTCCGCCCTCGCCCTCCCCTGAGATTTTGGCGTTGCAGTTTGGAGAAGGAGGAGTAGGAGGAGGAGGAGGAGGAGGAGGAGGAGGAGGAGGAGGGGGGGGAGGGAGATGACGACGACGACGACGACAACGACGACGAAAACGACGACGACGACGACGACAATGAAAAAGGCGACGACGCTCGCTCCCCCTTCTGGCACCGGGCGTCTTCGATCCGCTTCGGGCCCTGTGGGACCCTCACAAAGACATCCGGCCCGAGGCTGACGCAGGAAGATGGTGTCCGGGGCTCCGGTCGTGATTCTTGGCAAGGTTGCCCTGACTCCGGATCCGCCCTACTTTGGGGAAATTCGTAAGTGGGGCTTGGAATTTCCGCCTTACTTTTCAAGCCCCGCTGATGCCATTTTCCGCCCTACTTTTCTGTTGCTGTTTCCGCCCTGGTCCTGTGGCCTTCCGCCCGTCAGCAGGGCGGAGCCGGAGTCAGGGTGTATTTTGTTTGCAGCGTCGGAGTCACCAGGGCCTCCCTGCTCCCCCCCCCGCGCCCCCGAAGGGGGCGCGGGCGTGCGGTGGTCGGCGCGCGCGCGTGCGCGCAGGCGTGCGCTCCCGACCCCCCGCGCGCCGGGACGCCCCGGCGCCCCGGCGGTAAGTTCGGGGCACGGGCGCCCGGCCTCTCGGCCGATGCTGCAGCGGCGAAGTCCGAGCCCCGGCTCGGCCTCGCCGAGGCACCACACTCCGGCAGCTCGAGGGGCGGGGGGGGGGCAGAGTGCGGAGTTCGTGGGGCACGTGGCGAGATCCGAGCCTTTGCCCCCGCCCCGCATCGCCTCAGGAGGACCGATGGTTGGCGGGGGTAGGGTTCGGATGTCGCCACCCATGGCTCCACGGGGCCAGTTCTTCATGCCGAGTCGTTTTTTGACGGTCCCGAGGCCCAGTGAGGGTCCCGAGGGGCCGAGCACAGTGAAAAGCTGTCGTTCCGATTTTTTTGAGACGCCGCGTGCCTGGGGAGGAGGCCTGGCGGGAGTTCTGCGACAGCTTCCCGACCAGGGAGGACGCCGGGGACAAGCTGTATGCCGCCATCCTGTTGGGCCTCCCCGAGCTGCAGAAGCACTTCGTGACGCCGAAGGCCAGAGGAGGGCGAGGGGAGGCGGGGCAGCAGTAGGTGGCCTTCGGGGGGGGGGGAGGGCGCCCTCGTCGCCAAGGCTGGGCGCAGCTCGGAAAGCTGGTGCGTTTGGACCGAAGTCTATGGAAGACGCGCGGGGACCACGACCAAGATGTGCTGGGATCTTGTGGATGCCACTCTCGGTCATGGTCCATGCCGGCCGTCGCCGATTCGCGAGGATGATCCACGCATTGACGCCGACCAAGATCGAGGGTGACATAGATCGTCACGACGTTTCCGAGTTCAGCATTGGTCAGGGTCCCCGATTTCTTCCCCCCCCAACAGGGAGGGGTGCAGGGAACGATTTTGAGCTGCCGGTGTGTCGGCTCGCCCCGCTCCGGAGAGGCGGTCCACTCCATGCGCCTCTTGCGCGGCATCGGGAGCGTCGTATCCTGCTGCCACAGCGAGGGCGAGCTCCTGCAGACTGTGGAGGGCCTGGGCTTCATGCACCTGCACCTGGAGGTGGCTTGGAGCCGTCTGGGGGTCTGAGATGGTCCAGCACCGGTTCCAGCGAGCAGGAAGGGCGGGCAGGAGGTTGTTTTGCTTTGTTCTGCTCTTTGGGGGTTCGGGCCCCAGGACCGTCAAAACGGATACGGGTGGGGAAGCTGCTCCATATGGACCCCGGGCGGGGTCCTTCATCCCCCCTCCTGCCAGATTTTCTGGGGCCCCAACCAGTTCAGACCCCCCGGCCACCTCCAAGAGGTGGTCACCGAGCCCCGGGTCGCAGCCTTCAGGAGCAGCGTCGTGGATCTCGTGGCTGGCGTGCTCGGAGACGGGTTCCCCCAGCAGGCACGGGACGGCCTGACAGCAGTGCTCGACTATGCTGGCGGTGCGAGCATCTATGCGAGGACTCGGCGGGCTCTGGTTCGACCAGGGTTCGGCGTTAGCGCTGCGCGCCCTCAGGCAATGTATTTCCAGGCGTGTTCAAAAAACGCGTGGAGACTAGATCGGTTGAGCGTGGGTCTCGGCACGTCTCTGGTTCACTTTTGGGCCACTTCGGGGGTCTAGATGGGAGGCAAGTCTGGGAAGGAGGGTTGGAAGGGAGGGAGGAAGAGGTTGAGGAGGAGGAGGAGGAGGACATGCGGGAGCCCCGCTTTCAACAGGAACGACCGCCATCCGATCCTTGTCCTTCGATGTCACAAAACCCGGGTCAGAAAGTATTGAGCGGGTGCCTTCTGCTTAGAAGGGGCCGCCCTCCATACGTCAAGCGAGAAGCCCGCGTGTCGAAAAATGCGCTCCCTCTAGCCGCAGAGCGACGAGGCGCTTGTCAGGCGGATGTGCGCGGCGCGATGGTGAGAGCCACATTTTCAAAACCAGTCCCCCTACACTTCAGTCGGGCCTGTCACTCTACAGGGGGAAAATTCAAAATTAATGAAAAAATAGTCTGGGGATTACTTTTTGTATTGTTGGAAATATATTGAGCATTTTATGGATATTCTTTATTTTTCGTCCAAAATCCCCCTGTAGGGAGACAGGCCCGACCTAACCCTACACTCTTGTAGCTCTTGGGCATGTGATTCGTGCACCCCTCAAATCGCAGCCCGCCTTTGCACCTGGGAAACATTGGGCCCTGCAGCGTCGCCATCCCCAGTCGGTCGTTGGAAGATGGATTAGAAGCTGCTGGGGCCTTGCAAGGCAGGCTACAGTCAAGACGCTGAAATAAGAAGCAGTTTGGTTCGGAAGGGGCTCGATATTCCTTAGGTTCCTCCAGTGCTGTTCCTCTGGCCCTCCTGGGGCACGGAGGCGCTTATAGGGCCAAGAAGGGGCGTCGTTCCTTATTTAGCGTTCCTTCTTTCAGCGGCCCGACTGTAGAAGTTACTGGGGCCTTCTCCTGTCTTGCAGGCCATTCGGAGAGTAGTGAGGAAGTCTCAGGCGAAATGCCTGGACCGCCCTTCGGACACACTCGGCGGTGCGACAGCGAAGAGATGCTCATCCTGCTGAGCAGAAGCTTCGGCGGCACCTCACGGGGAAACGAGCACTCCAAGCCTTATGAGCCAGCGATTGTGTTTGAATGGGCTCTAGACCCTCTTGGGGTTGTTTTTTTTTCTGGGGGGTTCTAACGGGATTCGTTTGGCGTTCTGGGGCTCCTCCTGGATCTTGGAAAGGTCTTGAATCCCTCTTCGAGCGGTTTTGGGCCGTCTTGGCGCCATCTTGGGGTTATCGTGGAGGGAAGCTGCCGGTTTCTGGGCACATCGTGGGGCCGTCTTTGGCCTTCTGGAGGCTCCTCGGAACTTCTCGGAGGCCGCGGGCTCACTCCCGACAACCGACGGGGCGCGAAGCGCTTGAGGGGTGCGCCAAACTGCAGACCCCCTGAGCCTTCGGAGCCCTCCTGGGGCGCTCCTGGGGCCTTTTTTGGGGGGGTCGTCGGAGTGGAGCCCCTCTGGGCTCGACTTGGAGCTGTCTGGGCCCATGCTGGAGGCATCTTCAGGCATCAGGCGGCCCTAGGAAGCGACGCGGGAAGATTTCCAGCCCGATCAGAAAGGCCAGCCTTCTAGAACCAGTCCCTCTTGAGAGCCAACCTTGGGAAGCTCCGCGGCCACTCGGAGCCGTCTTTTCGCAGTCTTGGGGGCTCTTGGAAGCACGTTGGAGGTTGCTTGGCAGTCTGGAGTGTCTGGGTGGCCGTGTGGGATGCGTCCTGGGGTCCTCTTTGTTAATCGTGGCCGCATCTTCTCGGCTGTTCATGCCAAGCCTGGGAGTTCTGGCATCCCAGTGCGGGGATGATCTGATCTGCCTGGAATCTCCCAGTGGTCTTC